CCGGCGGTCGTCTAGGAGGCGCGGCGATCTCCTGCCAGGTCGCCACATCGTTCATGACGCTCTTCACCGCCTCGCCGAAGGAGGTACTGTTCCTCAGGCCAAAAGGCCTGGATCGCCGGAACCATGTCGGCGTGCGCCCTGGCTTTGGCCACAAACCAGTCGGCGTACTTGATCACGTCGGCCTCCTCGCCGATCCCCAAGAGAATCCAAGCCCACCTGGCGGCGTTGGCGCCGTCGATGGTCGAGAGGAGGCCCCACGGCGACCACTCGGAGGGCTCCTCGGGCACCAGGGCGCCGTGCTCCAGCCGCAAAGCCTTGGAACCGGCGGATTTCGCCGCCCTTTCGGCGGCCAAGGGGTTGAGCATCCTGCCGGGCGTCCAAGTGCGGCGGCATAGGATCTCGCCCAGGGTGACCGGCGTGTACATCTTGGTCACGGTGTGTTCGAACCACATCCGCGCCAGCACCTCCTCGGCGCCGAGGAGCTCCTGCACAGGGAAGGTGCGGCGTTTCCCGTCGAACAGCTTCTCTTCATAGGCCGTCACCTGCTGGGTCCAAGCGGCGAAAGTCTTCGGCGGGCGGTCGGGGATGTGTGCCGCCGTCGCTGCCGCGGTCGGCGTGTTCCCGGCTGCTGTCTGTGCCGCCGTGGCCGCGGCCGCCTGTGGTTGTGGAGCTGTCGGCGCCTGAGAAAAGATGTCCCATTGGCGGCGAGCTTCCACAAACAAGTGAATCATGATGGCGGTCGCCACCGGCTCATCGCCTGCCTCCGCCTTGTGATCCTGGCCGTCTATGGTCACTCCGGCGAGGAAGGGCGCCACGATCATCGTCGTGAAGTCCTCGGCGTTCTTGGCGATCAGGGCGAGCGTCGGGGTGGTGGATATCTTCTTGGCGGCGAGGTAATGCCGGATGCCGTCGCCGGCCCCCGCGGTGTTGAAAAGCTCGCCCAGCGGCACCATCTGCGACGCCACCGTCGGTGCGGCGGCCATGGCTGCGAGAGGTCTGAAAGCTTAAACCGGCAAGCTACGGAGAACCAAGGTCGGCGGGCGCGAACCACGCCGATTCCTAAGGCAAGTGGCTGACACTGGCGTCGTCGTCGGTTCTTTTGGTTCACCTTCAACTGATGTCGGCGCAATCGCCGTGTTGGGTTTCTATCAAAACTGGCCGGGTCCGGCGACCCCGGCTGCGAGGTCCGGTCGAGTGAGGCCGGCGTCTCTCAGTCCGATTCCGACGTGGCGCCGCTTGTGGAGGAGGAGCTGTCGGATGATGACACGGCCTCCGGCGCCTCCAGGTCGACCGGCGTGTCTGGGAAGCACCGGCGGCACATCGACGGGTTCGGCGGCAGGTCGTGCAGCCTGTAGAATTGGCGCACGCCGTACGGCCATCCACATCGTGCCTGCCACTCGGCTCTCTCCGTCTCTGCCTCCTCCGCGGCGGGCTTGTGCAGCAGGCGGGTGCGACAATTCATGACGTAGTGGGTCGCCGTGGCCGCCGGTATCAAGGCCTTCTCTGCCGACACCGGCGCCGGCACAAAGTCGATGGCCGGGAGCTCGGCGGAGAAACCCACAGCCGGCACGCCTGGAGCGGCGAGACTGCCGACTCCGTCGTGTGCCTCATTCTGTCCGTCCGGCTCGGCCGCTGGTCCCGGCGTGGCCGTCTGGTCCTGCGGTGCTGCCGGCGGGGCGTCACAAATCGCCGCCGCCCACTGTGTCTGCCCAAGGGAGGCCGGCGGGGTGCCCAGTACGGCCTGAGCCTGTGTGCTCCCCGCCGCCAACGCTTGGGCCGGGATGCCCGCCACTGCCAACGGCGCCTGCTGGGTATACCTTTCCACGGCGGTGCTGGACCACCGTCCGATCAACTGGATGATCGCGACGGGGACGCCGCGCAATGCCAAGAAGGTCGCCCCGGCGACTCTGGCGGCGTGTCCCCCAAACACGAACCTTTTGTGTCCGGCGCCGTCGGTGTAGATCGTCTGCCAACCCGCGGCGGACAGGACCATGTTGAAGAGCCCGGCGGTCTCCAACTTGGTTCTCTGCTGCCCGCCGTCACCTGGGAAGAGATATGCACCCGGCTCAGACCGGGC